TTACATGTGATGTGGTGCGTTGAGTGAGTCTGTTGGTATGCCATGCCGCTCGCTGGTCTGTCTGTCTGGTCTGGTAGGTCTGTCTGTCTTACGGTTTCGTCTAGGTTGTAGTAGTAGTGGTTTGGCGTGTCGTTGATGTAGCCGCAGAGGTTGCAGACCCACCGGCGGCCGTTGGCCTCCCACTGCACAAACGGATTGATGTACGTCCGACACCTCTTGCAACGAACTACCGTCCCTAGAAGAGGGACGGAGGGAGTCACACACCCACACACACACAGGCACACACACGAACGGACATACATTCAGCCAGCCAGCTACACGTGAGGTGTGTGGTGGCTGGCAGGTTTGTTTGCGTACCGACAGATCCGAAGTTGACAGCTGGTACGCGATACTTCCTGGCCAGCGGCTGGAACAACACACCTGCAGGCAGCCAGGCAGACAGGGCGAATGGACGGATTGGATGCATGGGAAATGCGCACAGCGCATGGAAGCAAGCAAACGCCCTGCCCACCTAATGGTATTTTCGCCTTCTGCTTCATGTTCTGAGAGTTGGGGAACCTTATAGACAGACAATACATACACCCACCGCATAAGGATACATACATACGATGCGGGACTGTCTGTCCTTTCGGGCTTTCCTCGTCTCGTATGTGTGTGTGTGTGTGCGGTCCGCCTGACGAACATAACATACTTGGTGAGCGATGGCCTGACAAAGGTCGGCGGGGCGTTGAACTCAGCGCACTCCTTCTGGGGAAACAAAACAACCAACGCAATCCGATCCACGGATAAACACAACCTGGCACTCTGATCTGATCTGATCTGCCTCTCTCTCTCTCTCTCTCTCTGACCGCGATGGCTTCCGCTTGCGCGTCGTGTGTGGGCGAGACCGCCTGTCCGGGCATCCCGGGCATCCCCGGCATCTGTCCCCCGACCCCCGGGTACTCGGGATACCCCCCAGCCCCCGTCTGGGACACAGCGCCGGCCGCAGCCTGCGGATAGTAGCCCTGGTAGGTGGACACCACACCACCATAGCATGGTAGACAAGACAGACAGACAGACAGACAGGAGCATGGTAGGGTAGGCAAACAAAACAAACGGGGTGGCTGGGCTGGGCTGGGCTGGTGTGTTGGTACGGTAGGTAGTGTCCTTCCTCCTTACTGGTCTGGTTCCTCCGTGTTTGAAGCTAGTAGGGGCGTGTGCCGTGGTGGGAGGGGGGGCCGCACCGGCGGGAGGAGCGCCGTACCCACCAGCAGCCCTGCACAAGCAACACAACCACACAACAAACCCACACACACAGAACAGAGAGAGAATGTGATGTGAACACAACGCCTGTCTGTCTGTCTGTCTGTCTGTCTGGATCCATCTATCTGCCTGCATCGCATCGCATCCCAGCAGATCTGATCAGACAAGGGTCGTTCGTACTGTGCGTACATTTGTGCGCTGGTGGGCGGCGGGGGGATGCCCTTGCCCATGGGCGGCTGTCCGAACCCACCACCAGGTGGCTGCTGTGTGGGCTGACTGGGCGCCTGAGGCGCCTGCGGCTGCTGCTGCCGGGTGCCGAACGGGCTGGATAAAACCGGCGCTCCCGCCCCGCCGCCGAATGGGTTTGAGAGGGGTTGTGCGGCGCCCTGCGGCTGCTGCTGGTACTGTTGTTGCTGGGTGGAGTAGGGCTGCGCATTGGGGTAGCCGTACGCCGCCTGTTGCATTCTCTGGCCAGAGGGGAGATCAGATCACACGAACAGACAGATCAGGCGCTTCTTTCGGGGGATCTGTCAAGGAGGCCGGGCCATGAGGTCTCTGCGATGCCGAAGGGCTCTCTGAGGGTGCGAGCTCGCGGATCGGCGCGAAGGGGCCTTTTCGTCGTGTGTTGGTGCGGGTTTCAATGCAATGCACGTCCCGCAACATCAGGAACATGACCACACTGCATTGCAAAGCGTCTGTTCATCCACAGCATGTATGTATGTATATGTCTGAAATGTGCGTAAGAGTCTCGCGCTCATGCAGTCCCTCCCTCTAGTGCCGCGCCTGCATCTGCACACCGCCATTGTCTTGCTCTGCCGGCTGCCTGGCAGACTTGTCACCGTCGTCTGACCGCAGCACCTCCTCGCCCACCCAGATGTCCTTGGGCTGGTCGTTGAGGCTGACTGGCGCCCTCTCCTGATGAAGTGGCTGTGTGTGGGTGGGCTGGGAGGCATGCTGATGCTCTTCTTCGCTCGCCGCTGGCTCGTGCTGGTGCTGGTGCTGGTGGTGTTGATGCTCTTCCTGCAAGCATGCAGTGGACAGAGAGACCAAATTACGTGACGTGGTATGTCTGGCTGCGTCTGTCTGTCCAGTCAGTCCAGTCCGTGCATTGCATTCATTCATTACCTCCTCTTGTCGCACCAGTCTGTCGGCCTCTATGATGAGTAGGTCCTCTTTGTGTCGGACGACCGTGTTGTACCACTGCAGCACATCGTCGTCAAGCGCATTGCTCTGAGCAAGACAAGCAGGCAGGCAGGCGGCAGCAGAAAGGCCGAGAGAAGCAGATCAGATCACAGCAGCAGAGAATTGTGTGGACGCCTCGTGTGGTGGTTCGTGGTGTGTTGGCGTGTGTGGTTGAATGAATGATTGATTACCATGTCAATGGGGGGGTCTGTGCCATCTTTCTCACACTTTTTGGACACGCGCCTCCCTGCTGAGGTCGCCTGCACATACAGACGGACAGACACGCACACACAGACGGATACACACAACACAGCACAGCACAGCACAGCACAGCCCAGCCCAGCCAGATGGACACGATGAACGACAGACACCTCCACCGAGTGTTGGTTCCCTTCCTTTCATGTTATATACCCTTTGGAGTAGTTTTTGCCGTTTGTCCTCCCGGTACCAGGCCAGCATCTGCTCCTCAGCCGCCTCCTCGGGGTCCAAATCAACCTCACCCGAATCGACTGGGGACAGACATGAGCGATCACACACACACAACAGGTTGGTCCCTCCTTCACAGATACATGCAATGCGTGTGTATGTTTCGGTGCTTACATCTCCTTCGGAGAACTCGTCTCGCCGTCGAGAGCATCCGCTTCCGCTGTTTCTCGTCGTACGCAGCGCGCCGCTCACCAAGACACCTGCAGACAGAAGAGGGAGGCATTGATGGTAGCCACGTATAACGATGGATGTGTGTGTTCTCACGTGTGGTGCACGGCCGCCATGCTATCAGCTCCTACCACGAGCAGGCGGCCTGCCTGCCTGCCTTACCAGTCTATGAATTGCTGGTCGGACCAGTCGTCCGTATCCACACCCTTGTCAGCTGCTTCGTTCCTGAATGGATGGATGGATGGATGGATGGACAGCAGAGAGATAGGCCGAGAGGACACACGAGACCGATCTATTTCCCTCCATTGCTCACTGACTACGCTACTCACTTGGCTTCGGACAGCTTGACGTTGTCCAGCCACAGCTGCAGCGCACGCCGCTTCCTGATGCGCCGTGCCTGACGATAAGAGAACACACAGCCGCCGTCGACACAGCTCACTCACTCTCTGTCGCCAGCTTTAATCGCTCACCAACCTTGGTGATGATGTTCTGTTTCCGGACCCTCTCTCGGTGGATCTCGTACCACTGCAGCAGATTCGCTGGCTCGGCCTCACTGACACACACACAAGCACATCAAGCACATAGAGGGCGTGGCGTGATGGACGAATGCATGCAAGAGTTGGTTGGTATGTGTTCGTTCCATAGAGTGATAGATACCCATGAGTCTTCATGGCCTTCTCAAGGGCGCCCCTGGCGCGCTTGCGTAACCGCTCTGACTGACAAGAGGGAGGGAAAGCAATGCATTAATGGAATGGCCGACAGACCCGACAACCATGTATGTATGTATCCTCTCGTCATGCATTCCCGCGTTGCTTGCTTACCTTCGCGGCCGCCTCATCGGCCCGGACCTTCTGATACCAGTCGACAAGCATCTCAGGCATCCTACGCTTCCCCCCCCCCCCCC